GACCAGGGTCAGTTTTTTGGTCGTTTACATTCAAAAAATGTAATGCAAACCACGATTTAATGTCATCAAGGCAGTCTAGCAAAACCCAGAGAGTCTGTAGAATTCTTTTTAAGAGGAAAATAAATTTGAGAAACATCCGAATAATAGTGAAATGTTATAAATACTGTGGTGGGTGGCTTGTTGCGTGTAGAATTGTTATCCCTTTAAAAAATAAACCATAAAGTAACTGACTGACTGAATGTGACTATTATTATTATGATTATTATTATTGTTAAGAGTTATTCTTTTTTTCCAATAATTTAGCTTTATTTGAAACATAAATGTTAATTATAAGCAATAAGGAATTTAAGCAAACATTTGGCTCTTTTGTTTAACTGGCAGTGTAACGTTGTATAAGTGTTGTCACGGCTGCGATGGCAGGCGTGTGGAGGTGAAGTAAGGACCCAAGTGCAGACAGAGGTTGATATGAGAGTGGAGATGGCAAGGACAGGACCTAAGAAATAAACTAAAACTGGGAAAGCCTAAACACATGGAAATGAAGTCAAAAACCCTTAGGGTGATCACAGGGAAACAGACCAGCAGCTTACAAAGGCAAACACAAGGCTTAAATACACAGAGGGATAACGAGGGAATGAGGCACAGAAGAAGAACACAGCTGGGAGTAATCAGAAATGATGAGACTGAGGAGAAGCAAAACTAGACACATTCACATAAGACATGAACCTTCAAAGTAAAACAGGAAATGCACAACAGACACAGAGATCCAGACTAGACACTGAACTTAACAGACAGATTCACGAGGAGACACTGTGACATCATGGACAGACAGAGGGAACACAGAGAAGTGGGACTGGGGCAGGCACAGAACAGAAACCTAACAAATGGCAAATCTTAATGAAAGACATAACCAGAATAAACAAGAACATAGAATATTATAAGGAAACACAAAACACTGAGTCGTCATTTTATTAAAAGACATGATGTTTGTTTGTTTGTTTGTCTGTTTGTTTTTTTTGTCCTGTCCTGTGTTTGTCCGTTATATGTCACATGTAGCACCAGGGTCTCGGAGGAACGCTGTCTCATTTCACTCTGTACTGTACCACTGTATGGTTGAAATGACAATAAAAAGAAATGCAGCAATCATAAAGCATATCTGTGGTAACACCCAGAGAGGAGGAAATGAAAGAAAACATGTTACTCCTCCTCTTGCAAAAAGAACTTAGAAGGATGTAGTTCAGGTATATTCCTAAATTTTTATGCTTTTTTGTTTTTCTGATGTTAGTGTATTTGATATACACTCAACATAAGGTTGTAGCCAAACAATGCAAGATTTAGAGGAATGACACAGCATGAAACTGCAGCAATAAATTCAAAGTTCAGCCAATAAATTATATTCCGGTTATCCAACCTGTTATCACAACAATGCAATAAGATAACACTGTACCGAAAGTACCGGTAATGTGTTGTGACAAAGCCTGCTAAATTTACTCACCACATTGCCAAATATATACTGTCAAGGCAAAAGTGACAGTTCACCAAGCAAACAGACTCAGAGATGTTCTTTTGGAAAGTTTTCTAAAATGGATGCCTCAGCTTTTCTTGTGCTCTTCTGAATAGAGACCTCTGACGTTGTGCCCTGAATCTGCTGGAGTTAGTCCCTCGAGTTTAATAGTCACAGCTCACAGTATTCCTTTTACCTCTGGTACCACTGTGGACTTCTACAATGTGCTGGATAGTCTCCAGGACATCTTTGCACAGTCAGCCTATTTAGTTCTGTCAGTTGTGTTATACTCCTGCCTCCATGGGTCTGGTGCTTAGGGCCCATCGTTGTGCTGCTGTGATTAGTGCCTCTGTGCTGTCCTTTAGGCCAACCTTTTTTAGCCACTGCTTGGATTTCCTGATGTCAGCTACATCCTATGTTATCATTGGTACATCATATCCAGGGACTTGATCATCCATGATTGTTTCTCCTCATGTTCGTCATCACTATTTGCCTTCAGCCACCTAAAGTACTTTTGGAGAAAAATTCTCAGGGAACCAGATGAACTTCTCTAAGAACTTCTCCATCATCCTGATCATAGAGCCTCAAGGTGCTGGACTTCAGCTGGACACCCCAGTTGTGTCCAGCCCCATTGTGAGGAGTTTTTGTGTGTTGACATCAGTGACATATATCCTCTTCTGTGCCCAGCTCTGACCATTAGGATGTATGTATTGAAGGCTTGGATCTTATCCCTACCATTACACTGAGTTCTCAACCATTGCCTTACATTTTGGAAGTATTTTGTTGTGGTTGTGGTACTTTTCCAGACTTGTGCTGTCAGGTCTTCATTGAATAATATTACTGTAGCTTCTTCATGCCTGAAAGTCAGTGTTAGATATCTGCCTTTGTGATGTTCTGATGTTCTTTAAAACTTGTTATTTTTGACATTTTTCCTAGATTCAACTAAAGAAATGGGAAGAAATTATGGGTTTGTGACTAAGTGTCTAAAAGTAGAATTTCTGATTGGTTCTTTGCTAAGTGTAGACAGCTTGAGTTAGGTGCCTCGTAATGCTGAATGGTTTTTAATTCAGTGGATTAAAAAGTAAACACTCCTTTAAAAAAAGGCCAGGTACAAGAATTGCAGTGAAGAGCTCTAAAAGACTTTCAGAAAGCCTGGACCAAGACCACTTTTTAAAAAAGGACAAGACAGTTTGGCTTCTTTGGAAACAAAATATAAAGACGTGAGGGATGACTCAAGATGTTGGCACAGTACTGTCTACATGGCATAGATTACAATGTTTTTTTCTATTGTACTTATACCAGTAACAGACTGACAGCAACTTTTACTGCTTGTCTTTGCCCTTGTTTCAAAAGCCCCACCTATTTGAGCAATGATAATTACTGAATTATCTTAGTGTGTGACAGCAGGGAAGACTCATCTACTAGTGTCAGAAAACATCTGACATAATAAAAAGCTTATCATTGTGCTGCCATCAGAAGTTAAATTAGGTATATTTCATAATTCATACTCTATCTTCTATGTAATCACGTTCAAAGTGTCAATCACAGGACTAATGTTTTAGATTCACGAGGGCTAGAAAAGATAAGATAACTATAATATTAGCTGAGAACAGAAATATATAGTTGGATGTTGCATTATTATTGTGTTACTACCCATCTGCAGGCTTGTTGAGAGAAACCAAAAGGTCCAGGTATTTCTTGCTGAATATTTTTAATGCAGAGGTTATTTAGAGAAGAAGGAACCAGAATTAAAAGACTCCTGTGAGACAGTGCCATCTAGTGCTTTGAGGAGTGCACTATAAACATCTTCAATTTCACGCAGCTTTTGACTAGTCCATGCATTAATACAAATAAAAACCAAACAAAAAAATAATACATGCAAACAACAACAACAAAATCTAACCTATTCTTTGAACTCTATTTGACCTCTTTCCTCACTTGTTTCAGGGAACTTCCACCTTCTGCTGAGTTCATCATCACGTAAATTCCAGTATTAAACAACATCAGTTGTGAAATCAAAGTGTGACTGTAATCTGCACTGTTTTAACAGATTTAGTAAATGATTTAAAACTTCCTCCCAGTAACTCACGGCTGTTATAAAAACAAAGAAGGTAAAGCAACCCTACAGCAGAGTCAAACATGGCGAGTGTTACTGTGACATCCTGTTGGAAGAGTCTTCTGCTGGTGGCACTTATGGGTGAGAACATTTCATTTGTGTTCACTGTTATTATTCTTTTAAATGCTGACTATGAACATGAATGACAATAGTAACAAAGTAAGTGATACAACAGTTAATAAGAGGCTCAAGAATAAGGGTCTCTGTGCTTTGATTCAGGTTTTATTTTAGCAGATGTTTATCACATTTATCCCTACATCTTCTGAGTGTAAAGATTTTTCCTCGTGATTTAAGAATACATGGAAGGAATTAACTGAGTAAGGATTAAAAAGTAGCTTTTTCTTTATATTATGTGATCCTGTTTGTGAGGTTGTTGTGCCCAAACTGTGCAACAGCCTTCCTCGGTCACTCAGGTCGGCTGACTACGTTAATTCATTTAAGTGACTGCTGAAAGACAGTTGCTTCTTTAACTTCTGTTTTCTTAAATGTAAATTATCATTATTATTTGTATGTTAGCAAAGTTTATATTTGACCATACATCTGTGGACAGCTTTGAGTACCTGCTGATACTAATATAAGTCTTACATCATCTTTTTCTCACACTTAAGTTTGTCTGGACACACGTCTGAACTCCTTTTTAGTTAACTGATACTTATGCAGATAGATATCCATTATGGAGTAATGGATTATATATTATTTAATTCTCAGATTAAGTTATTTTGTGCTTTTAACCAGTATTGTACCAGTATTGACACAGAGTGGCTTTTACTGGTATGTGTTACAGCCATCCTGACTGCTCTGTCCCTCAGGTTTACCAGGTTTGGGGACCAAGGTGCAGATTTCTTGGACTGGCAGGGTGACAGCTGGTTCCCCCACTACTTTCACATGCTCATCTAATTGTTTTCCAAACTGCATCTACACCTGGTCCTTTAAGGCCAGCACAGTCAACGGGAGCACATTAACTTGGACACCAGATGGACTGGATGATACAGTGAAACTGCACTGCACTGTCTTCAATCCACAGACAGGAGTCTACACAAGTACTGACACCATTGTTGAAATTACAAGTGAGTACATCAAGTTAAATGTCACATTAAATAGTGGAAATAACAAAGGTACCTTTTATTCTGTACTTCTAAAATGTTTGCTTTGATGACAGGAACAAGGTGTGTATGAGTTACACATAATTAGGACACACTACATGGACAAAACTACTTTGCTACCTACAGATTACACCTACCCTGTCATGAGGCCCTGGGCACGTGGTTTTTCAGCTGATGCTAATGCCTAAGGATGTTTAAAACGCTGCAGTTATTGAGTCAGGAGGGAATATCTAAGAGGAAGGAAATTCCACATACTGATTTTTATCAATGGTGGCATGTTATTACATCTCATTCAAATTCAGTGATGTTTATAGAACAACATATTCTTTCACAAATATTTGTAAAGGCAGACTGCATGGCTAGGTGCTTGACTTTACACATATGGGACAACTGAATGCAAAGATTAAGAGGTGTGGCTTAACACTACTGTCCTTATTGTTATTCTCACTTTATGAATTAAAAACTTCTTTTTTCTTTTTGTACAGATCAAATATCTGTACAAGTCAGTCCGCTGAACACTGTACCATCTCTCAACCAGTCATTAAATCTCATCTGCCATGATGCCAGATTTGGTGATCCACAAGGTCTATCAGACCTGGTCTGGTATAAAGATGGACAAGAGGTGACCCTGCGTGAAAATATGTGGCTTCAGCAAAACAACCTCACACTTCATTTTGACTCACTGCTGCCCTCTGATGCTGGTTTCTACCAGTGTCAAACGTATCTGCCTACATCACAGACAACAGTTGTCAGCCTGGGCTATCTACTCAGCTGTAAGTACAAGGATACAGAGAGGTTAAACCAGAACGAGAAAGGCTGTGTTTTGTCATAACTGCAACAAGCTTTCTAATCTTTTGCAGATGATCAGTGGAACGTCAGCATTAGCGGACCTGACACTGTGTTTCCTGGTCAGTTAAGTGAGTTCACCTGCCTGACCAGCTGCACCTTAAATGTGGAATGCACCGTCAGGTGGGAGTTCAGGGGAGGTTTCCCTGTTGGAACCTACTTTTCAGTTCATAAAAATGAGGTCAAGTGGACTCCTTCACTACCTGGGACTTTTCAAAATTTCACCTGCATTGCAGAGAATAAAGCTGCTGGACGTTCTGCTGAGGCCACCAAGATGGTAGAAGTTAAAGGTACGCACAACTCCTTAGCACTTGCTTGTTTCTATTCTTATTGCTAAATAAATTTCAATTACTTTCTTTTTCTCTCAACAGATATCCCAATCTCTGGATCGGAGGCGATGCAGCTTAGTGGACTTTTTGCAGGAATCCTCAGTCTGGGAATGTGGGTCCTCTTGGGTTGGGCTCTAGAAACAGTATACTTATATTCACTTTAAAGAGACAGTTCACCCCAGTATCAGCTTTATGCCCAAATAAACACATGACTACACCATGGATTATCATAGAATAGTTACTACAACTAAATGCAGCTGATATCTACCAAACTTTTCAACTCAGACTTACACTCCAGAGAAAAACAACATAAATTTGATTTGGGGGTTTTAGTGTGAATATTTTCCACGCTATTTATTTCTGCAGCAGCTTATTCTTTTTATTATTATTCGTGCAAAAGAAACATATGTGATGTCAAATGTTAGAAAAGTAGAAGCAGTGGTTTTTTTCTTATGAATTTTTGTAAAACATCTGAACTCGCATATGAAAAATAAATTATGTGCATTAAGTCACAGTTGGAGTTGATTCCTGTTTAACAATTAAAGTTGACACATGATTTCCTTTATGCTCCTTTATAGTGTACGTTTTAATTACAAGCCATTTGTAATTAAAACGTACACTGGAATTAAATTAAATTTAACCACAAGGTGTCACTAACAACACAGAAGCACTGGATTTCAAGGACAGTGGAACATAAAATGTAAAATATTTCTGTGAATGATATTGCAATAAGTACTCTGACTGTTTTGTTTTTTTCAAAAACAAACCTCAAGATTTATTAAAAATTCTTTCGCTGGGACGTAACTCCTTCAGTGAAAAATTACTTTTGTAAAGTCAGCTTGATAAACAAACTGTGTGACGTCAATCCTGCGCATGTGGTCAGTGATTCAACAATCTGTTTCATGTTCCTTTGAAAGTGAACAATTAATGCAGAGAAGACAACCACGCTAAGCAAACTGAGAGAGACTGAGGTTTTTACCTTTGTTTTTCTCTTTTCTTCTTTTGTCATATCTCAGTTGCTTTGTCAGGCGTAAGAATAGGTGGGGAAAATGAAACTAAAACATCTGCTTTCATTTTGTTGTAAAAGAAACCAACATTTGCATGTTAACCTCATTGTAGTTTCAGTTGAAATGCTGCAAACTCTGTAGTATATGTATATATATCCTGTGTTTAATTATAAACTAGAAAATGTAGGTTGGTGTTTTATGTTATGTCTGTTATGTACTTTCTCTTTTAAATTATTGAAACAAAAAGATATTCAAAAAAGGTTTATTTCCAAATTGGCCCAAATGGAACTTTTTGGCCAAAATGCAAAACGCTATGTGTGGCGGAAAACTAACACTGCACATCACTCTGAACACACCATCCCCACTGTCAAATATGGTGGTGGCAGCATCATGCTCTGGGGGTGCTTCTCTTCAGCAGGGACAGGGAAGCTGGTCAGAGTTGATGGGAAGATGGATGGAGCCAAATACAGGGCAATCTTGGAAGAAAACCTCTTGGAGTCTGCAAAAGACTTGAGACTGGGGCGGAGGTTCACCTTCCAGCAGGACAACGACCCTAAACATAAAGCCAGGGCAACAATGGAAGGTTTAAACAAAACATATCCATGTGTTAGAATGGCCCAGTCAAAGTCCAGATCTAAATCCAATCGAGAATCTGTGGCAAGATCTGAAAACTGCTGTTCACAAATGCTGTCCATCTAATCTGACTGAGCTGGAGCTGTTTTGCAAAGAAGATTGGGCAAAGATTTCAGTCTGAAGATATGCAAAGCTGGTAGAGACAAACCCTAAAAGACTGCCAGCTGTAATTGCAGCCAAAGGTGGTTCTACAAAGTATTGACTCAGGGGGCTGAATAATTACACACACTCCACTTTGCAGTTATTGATTTGTAAAAAAATGTTTGGAATCATGTATGACTTTCGTTCCACTTCTCACGTGTGCACCACTTTGTATTGGTCTTTCACGTGGAATTCCAATAAAATTGATTCATGTTTGTGGCTGTAATGTGACAATGTGGAAAAGTTCAAGGGGGCCGAATACTTTTGCCCCACAGGGAATGGTTCTGGCTCCATTTGTCTTCACCATCTACACTGCAGACTTCTCCCACAACTCCATCTTTTACGGTGTGGTCTGCTGAGGTGGCAAGATCTCTGCCGGGGATAGGAAGAGACTGAACAGGTTGATCCGCAGGGCCAGCTCTGTTCTAGGATGCCCTCTGGACCCAGTGGAGGTGGTGAGTGACAGGAGAATGGTGCCTAAGCTGTCATCCCTGTTGGACAACATCTCCCACCCCATGCAGGAGACTGTGAAGCACTGAGCAGCTCCTTCAGTGGGAGACTGCGGCACCCACGGTGTGGGACAGAGAGATTTCACAGGTCTTTCCTCCCCACTGCTGTCAGACTCCACAACAAAGACTTTTGCAGCTGATCAAACACACAAACCCACACATGTGCAATAACACCAAGTGCAATACTCTTTTCTGACAAAGTTGTATTTTTCCTCAGTTGTATATAGCATTTGTATTCTATTTTTAACCTATTGTGGATATTATTTTATTTTATTCTATTGTATATAGTATTTTATTTTAATTTATTCTATATTCTGTACAGTTGTGTACAGTATATTATTCTTATTGTATTCCAGTGTTCTCTAATTTTTGCTATATAACTTTGCACTGTCCACTTTCTGCTGTGACAAAACAAATTTCCCACGTGTGGGACAAATAAAGGTTATCTTATCTTATGTTATCCTAGGTTTCCTGCAAGACCTGAGGCATGACTGTAAACAAATATTGAATCTGACTAGGTGTGCCACCCAAGGATCCATGATCTGCTCACACCTGCTCACACTGAAGTTTTTTTTTTTTTGAGATGATGTCAGGCCTCCATCAAATGTTTCTGTTTCGTTCCCTTCTTTCCCTTCAGGCTCCGTGCCAAGTAAGGAAGGATGACGCTACCTGTTTATGGGAAAAGTGATTTCTGATAATATGGGTGTTGTAATATAAACTCCTCATATGAGGGTATCAAGCAGAAGCTCTTCCTCTTCCTCATTAACATTTTATTACCATTTTCTACTTATTTATTGTTGTTTTTGTTGTTCTCATTCTATTTACATGGTCTGACATTTACTTTGTTTTTCAGATGTATCATACACTATACTTGTTTTAAAAAGTACAACAGAACTTTGTATATGATGAATTCAAAACATATTACACCAGATATATTAAAGTCACATGATGATAGCGATGTTAAAAATATTAATGCAGAAGTCTGACAGGTAGTTCATTCTTTATTCAAACCAAATAGTGAAACATGATTAAGTGCCTAGCTTAGCTTTTAATTCCATTACATTTGATTGATTAGCTAGCTAACTATTGGCTATTGGTTATGTCAAAAATTTGTAGATTAAACTACAAAGTATTGAATTCACTGGCTGAAATTAGACCCACCATTTCACCCTTAGCATTAAAATGATGTGTACAAAAACCATTATCAAATGCATGATGCAGCTATACTACATCATATTTGTTTGTAAAAACATAAGGTTTTCTATAAAACTCTGCCATGGCTCATCAAATGTTGTTTTTTCTTTTCTAGGACTCTGAATAGTGATCAGCAATAGGGAACTAAAGAGTTAAGACTATAATTTCATGTCAACAGGGCCCCTCACACTTACCTTTAAAATCTACAAATGACCTATACATCAATCACATCTTCTGTTTGGCCAGTATACACAGCACAGGTTTGCTCAGATGCTGAACTTCGTCCCGTCATAGCTCAAACAATACACCCGCTGTTTACTCAGTGCTATTGAGAGGGGCATAATGGTTTGCCTGTGCTTCACATCCAACGTGGGAAAGAGTATTTCTTAGTGTGTGAAAACAACTGGTTGTCTGAAATAATACAGTTTTCTAAAAATTGTATCACCTTTCTGAGAAGTTTGACAAGCATGAAACCCAGATGACCTATAACACCTGCAGATAAGAAGCAAGTGGAAGCAAGCAGGAAAGTTCCTCATCCTTACTTGGCTTGGCCAGGTTGCCTTTTTTACAAATCACAGTAGGAGGGCGTCTGTCAACATCCTCATTGGAGCGCTCACCCTTAGATCCGTCACATCTGTCCCACAACTTAGGGTCAACACTACCCTTACAGTTTTAGGTGAGAACAGATAAGTAAGAGCTGATGTTCAAGGTTGGGAGAACCATTTTTGTAGAATTTCAACTTGTTTATTAATAATGGTTTGAAGTTGGTAGTTTCTCACCAAACATTATAACTGAAACACAAGCATTTAAGGTAAATGTGAAAGCATAAAGTCTCAGGGAAAGGTTGGGAAAAAATATAAGAGCTTTTCCTAAAGTGTTTTTTTATTTGTACTTTTTAGTATTAGCATAATTTTTTTTTTTAAGTTTATCATTTATTCTGAAACATTTCAGCAAGTCACTCTGACACTTGAACCCTTCACCCTGGCTTTCATGCATTATATTTATTACTCACTTTTTATTTTGGGAATGCTGAAGTATGCTTTGAATAAACTGTGATCAGTGTTGAGTAAATACTATGAGATGAAATGCATGTGGGTGTTTTACAAAAAATGAAATCATCTTTTGTGGAAGTCCAGTTTCTGATAATTTTACGTAAGGAAAAAAATAAAAGAAAAGTTATCTAACCTTAAATGACTTTAAATGACGCAGCAAATTGTGTAATGTAAGGCAGAACAAAGATAAATCCCATGAGCAAATAAAGGCACCATAATGAATGACATATTCAAAAAGCCAAAGCAAACTTAAAAGAAACTGTGAACACTGGCTATGAATTCTTACAGTTCTGTAAAGTGACCAAAACATTTCGACACACTGAGGGTAAGCGGGATGGAAAAACTTTAAAAATATGCTGATGAATTGTTTGCACTAAACATTTTACTGGAACAGGTTTCTGTTGTAATGAAAAATGATCCCAAAATAATATTGGAAAAGGTTTAATGGAATTCAGGAGGCCCCTGTCTCGTGGTATTTGGACTAACAACCAGCAAAGAGAAAAACAGCCTGTTCCTTACCGTATGTCTACGTGCTTTTGCTGTTTGTTGTTTTTGGTGTGCTGTTCGTCACGTTGCAGTGACATCCAGTTTCTGCCTGTGTCTGTCCAAAGTAAGTATGTTAGTATGCTTCTTTTATCCCAATTGTGTTTTCCAGTGTTGAGGAAGTTACATTGAAAAAATAATTAATTATAATTACTAGTTATTTCTTCAAAAAAGTAACTGAGTTAGTAACTGAGTTACAAGATTCTAAAAGTAAGTAATTACTTGAAAAGTAACTATTGCTTTACTTTAAAAAATGTTTAACCCTCTGG